ACAGTATGTCCAGCATTCCCACTTCTCAAATACAAAGAAAGACAAGGAGACAGATGCGCTGCAGTGGACAGCCAGTGCTGGGTGAAATATCTGTCAGGGAAAAAATGGTTTTGGAAAACTGAATGCACTTTTTAAAGTTTGTACACACTAACCTGCAAATGGCAAGGATCCACCAGTAGATGTCACACTCCCACTGCTCAAACAGAAAGAAAAGTAGAGCCACTGAGGCACTGGCATGGACTCCTGTGGCTATTGTAGTCAAAGGGGTGGATACAGGAGTTGAAGTCATGGATTTGTAACTGAAGACTAAGCTGACTTATTAAAATCACTTTGTCACGTGTCTGTGTTTTATTACAGTTGCTGCTATCTCAGGCCTTATCCGTTTCTGTATGGGAGCCCCATACCAACAGCTCGGTTACAGATGCATGGGAGATGATTTCAGACTAAACTCTGTGTTGACTAGAGCCTTATATATCAATTATTTTCAGTAAGGGACTCACAATATCAGAAAAAGGATACACAGGAGACCTTGGCTGCAGTTGAACATGGACACTCCCGAAAAGAATCCAGTTAACTCTATACCAAACAGACCGAGGGTGACTGCTAATGCCACCACCAACCTGAAACAAATACACATAAAAGAGGGTTTCTGTGCCTGTGCGCTTGTCTCTTGTATGTCATGTGTTTGTCAAGCGTTTGCTTACTTTCTATCCTCATTGTCATATTGTGCCTGTGTGAAATCCAGAGGCAAACAAGCCTTCACGTTATTTTCCTATAAAATAAACATCACAAACAGTTCAGCAAAAAGCACAAGACGAGTATTTGTGAAGACATGGGTTAATAATAAACTCAAAACCTTAAATTTTACACATTAAAGCGTCTTACAAAACATTATAATTTTGTCTTACTTACCCTCGACCAAAAGATAGTGATAACAATAACAAGGTGAGCTATGATGGTCAGAAACCGTGCAGGGACAAGGCTGCTGATAGCAGACATGCTAAGGCTGTAATTGTTTACTTAGAGAAAGGATACGCGTGAACTAAAATGCAATCTATGATGGGTAAGCAAAATATATTTTATTTCGTTATTAACTGTATCAGTGTCTTGCAGCTATTGTTGCAAGACTCGGTGTTAAATCACAGTAGCTAGCTAAATGCTAATTTAGCTACTGTCCAATAATTAAGATAACTTTATCCGCGACGAAGGAAAGCGACATTGCCCAAGAATAAACGCTCGTAAAATGTGGATAAACAGATTTTAGATAAAATACTGCTACCTCAACTAGCGCTGACTAACATTCATTACATTACAAATACAGCCAACAACAGACACAGTGCATCTCTTAACGGAAACGGTTGCTACGACAACCACCGACATTGTGCGTTTTTTATTACTGACCGGACGAAAAACCAACATCCAAAGGTTCCGGCCACAGACAATAACTGAGAAAGGACTGCTCGTGTTTTTCATACTCAATACTGACATCAAGAGGCAACACAAAAAAACTGGGCCACAAACACTTTGGCACAGGGAAACACAGCAGATGAAAGGATGCATTTAAAAATACAAAGCAATAATTAACAAATTACAAAGCAATAATTAGACTAATGTCTGTATTCTCATAAAACGCTTGTATGGACTAATGATTATTATGGAGACAGAAGACACGATGTTTTTACATCATCATAAATGTATAAAATAGCCATTGCTGTAACATATCACCCCCAACAAGATCCATTTTAATAGTGTTTCATGTGAATCGTTCCTTGGCCAATGCAGACCTAAAGCTATAGGCTTACCTCCAGACCCCCTCCCCTCCTATTTCTGCTTCCAGACAGCGTGTGCGCAACATATTGAGAGCTAATCAGTCTGTTCACTCGCCCAGTATACGTTTCTCCTAGCTTGATGCGACTGACATAGCATTCCTCAGGCTTTTCTAATAAAAAAAGAACCCAGACACGGGGCATCGTGGAGGTATGGCAGAAGCGGAATTACAAACCTTTACGTCTATCATGGACGCGTTGGTTCGCATTAGTGTGAGTATGACGCTCATTTTATTACTCTGTTTATTTCAACAGTGTGTCTTAAGTTTAAATGGGATATCAATCACACAATTTTGCCACATGTTCTCTCGACCTTTGTGAATAGATAGAAATGTGAGGTTTCTCACCTATCTTTAGGAATTTTTTGGCATTTATTGAACCAAAGACATATGGTTGGTTCTTTGCTAGCACTGTGGGTGGAGACACATAAGCAAGAGCACAACGGCTTACCCACAAGATCTAAACGTTGCAGCAATGGATGTTCAGTGCTTATAGCCAACAGGATGCTAGTAGTAGCTTAAAAATGCAGAGATGATGTGTGTTGTCATAGAAACGAGATGCTGCGTTTAGTAGCGGAGCAGGGCCTCAACTGAGCAGAAAAAAACCCTTAAAGCTATATTTATAGTCTATTATTAAACTGAAAACCTTCCTTCTCTATGTCATCTCCCCCCACTCTGTTACCAAACCATTGTATCCCATGCCAGGGCTTGCTAAGCTAATTCTACACCAGAAATGTTCAAAATGAATGTGATGCTAGATGACACCATTCAGAACATGGAGAATGGCTAACGCCTGAAGTTTAGGAAAACGATCTTTTCCTCCACAGTTCCTCCCACTCTGTTTTGTATATTAACGGCCAACCTATATAACCAGTGGCTGTTGCAGGGGGGTGTCACAGAAAGAGCAGAATGTGAAGGGCAACTGATTTTTTTTACTTGTACCAGTAACTCAGCCTTCATCTGGTCTGATTCCACATTCATTTCCCTCCCCTCCTCTCCAGTCAGACATGAGGAGTATGGAGCAGGAGCTGCATTGCCCGGTGTGTGAGGAGATGGTGAAGCAACCCATCCTTCTGCCATGCCAACACAGTGTGTGTCTGCTGTGTGCAGCTGAGGTGTTAGTACAAAAAGGTTACCCTCCTCCAGATCTCCCTCCAGAACTGCACTCACCGGCCTCCACACCCAACACTCGCTCCCCACGACAGGCACGCAGACCACCACCCAGGACCCCTGACAGTATGGAACGGGTTTTCAAAACAGGTGGATTAAATGATTGGGGTTTTAAGTCTTTTAGTAAAGCTTTTGTTTTGAATGTGTGCCAGGAAAACTGAATGATGTCAGCATTAAGTCACCCTGAGAGTGATGGCATGATTTAAAAATGCAGAGATGAAGGTATGGTGTGACACCACTGCCCTCTTAGCATTTGAGTTTCATAGATGATGTAACTGACACCTCAGTATCCTGCTGTACATCCCAAGGTTTATGCATTTACCTCATCATGATGCATTTAGCTGCATGTAATGCAAGAGCTAAACAGGCAGAGAGAGCGAGGCAATAAGCATCTCATAAGCAGGTGTGTTTTCAGTGTGTGCGCTTTTTCTCCTCTGTCTTTCTACTTCATCTCCTCTACATTTGTGTGTCCTTCTACCAGTGTGTGGGACTTACCCAGGGCGAAGGCGGAAGGATGCAACGCATCCTCCTATGCTGTTCCCATGTCCTTCCTGTCAGCAGGACGTGGAACTGGGAGAAAAAGGCCTCACGGACTGCTTTCGCAACCTTACTCTGGAGCGCATTGTGGAGAGGTCTGCATATGCACAAGCAGCTTATACTACTGTCTAGTATGTGACTTGTGGGGTGTCTTTATTTTGTATGTTGATGATTATCATCTTATTAATATCTGGGTTTTGGAAAATATCCCTTTAACCGGTCCCACAGGCCATGAAGGGCAGCAAAAAAGAGCTTAGTCAATACTACTTTATAAATGAGACAGGAAATCATTCACTGAAAGAAGTTGATCTTTCTTTTACTCTTGATCTAAGACCAAGCCTAAGAGCACATTGCATTACCAGCTTAGAAACTGCACTGTATGATACCCTCATCATAAAAAGATTACATTTTATCAAAATTCAGTTGAGCAAGAATAGAGGGAACTGTTTCATCATTCCTATTAAATGTTAATAATCTCTTTATCTTATCAGTTCACATAGAAAAGATTAAAGTGAGAGGAGCAGCGTTCTGAGATGGGGAACATGTCTTATGGGGATAGGCAGTTTCCCACTTTCACACGCAGCAGTTTGATGAGTGCAGCTGCTCCCTCCCCAGGCAGTGGCAGTGCTGGTCAGGAAAGTGTGACAGTGCATGTTTTACTGTGCAGGATGCGCTAACAAGGCACCTGCTGGTGATGTATCCAGGTCAGGCAGTTACAGAGTTAGCTGCCTACCTACTGAAAAGGGAGCAGGATGAACTCAGATCAGCTCAGTCTTCCTTCTCTTAAGTTTCAAAGGCTCATTTCTTGTATTATTTTTTTACTGCTGCAAAATTTGACTTAGCCAAGGTCTTAGCTCTTCTGTCCCCCTTTCTGCCCTCTAGGTATAGACACACAGTAAGTCTGGGCAGTGTAGCCATCATGTGTGGTTTCTGTAAGCCTCCTCAGTCTCTGGAGGCTACTAAAGGCTGCGCTGACTGCAAGTCCAACTTCTGCAATGAGTGTTTCAAACTCTATCACCCCTGGGGAACGCCCCGTGCTCAGCATGAACACATTCTACCCACCAACAACTTTAGGCCAAAGGTTGGTCTGTTTTTGTGTTTTGCACAGTACATACAGTGTCACTTCTGTTGTCATTGTGCACTGTGAACTCTCCTTTGTGCTCTAGATCCTAACATGCACAGAGCATGAGCAGGAGAGACTGCAGTGGTACTGCTGTAACTGCCAGAGGTTGCTGTGCCCACTTTGTAAGCTGCGACGTGTCCACCATGGACACAAAATACTGACTATAGCACAAGCCTACCAGGCTCTCAAGGTGAGTTTGGACTGAATCAGAGTGCAGATGAAAACAGCTTTGAGGTGTTAACTTTGGTTTTGGTGTTACAGGAGAAGGTCACCAAGGAAGTTCACTTCATCCTGGCCAACCAGGAGACGATACAGAGCCAGATCACTCAGCTGGAAGCTGCTGTCAAACAGATGGAGGTGAAGTAGTGTTTTGCATGACATCTGCTTTGTCTCTTTCCTCATTATCTTTGTACAAATGCAGCAAAAATAGCATCATGCATCTTGGTCGTTATGTCATGTCACAGGCTAAACAAAGGCAAATTTTATTTCTAAAATATTCAAATGATGATCAACAAAACTTTTACATAATTGACATGTGATGTGTAGCTAAAGTATGTAATAACTGTTGTCTGTAATGTAATTAAATGACAATTTTTTGATTCTACTTTAAGGACTTGGGCCAGAGGGAAGGTGTTAGGCTGTGGTAGATAGAACCTCAAGTACCACCAGTGGTACTCATACCACAGTTTGGATAATCACTGTTCTAGAGCAGTGACACATGCTGGTGTCTCTGTCTGTCATTTCTAATCTACTGTTGTCTTTTCACTTAGCAGCAAGAACTTCTCCACTCAATCATAATGTCCTCCCACTCTCTGGGTTCCTTCTATGTCCAGGCAAACAGTGTCGTCGCTCTGCAGCAGCTGACCCGCTGTATCCGAGAGCTGAGTGCGGCTGTAGCTGAGCGTCAGGGGGCTTTGGCTCTGACCCTGGAGGGATCTCGCAGCAGAAGAGAGGAGGCCCTGTCTGCTCAGGTTTCAGAGAGGCGATGCCTGCTGGAGAATGCAGGCCTGATGGCCTACACAGAGGAGCTACTCAAAGAGACTGATGCACCCTGCTTTGTACAGGCAGCCAGAGTCACTCACAACAGGTACCTGCAGAAAAAGCATACTTAGTCATCTGAATCCTACACTTTGGTTACATTTGGCCTGTTGTCATCTCTCTAGTTTCTTTTTTTTTTTTGCTTTTTGACTTTGTTTTCCCTTTTCATTTTGCTACTCTCCTCCTCCAGGCTGGTGAAGGCCATAGAAAACCTCCAGTGCTTCTCTCTTGCTGCTGATCCCTCCTTCAGACACTTTCATTTAGATGCATCCAAAGAGGTCAAGCATATCAACAACTTGGAATTCATACGTGGTGAGCGTCAATGTGTCTGTGATATAAACCATACAAGAGTGAGCTTGTACTTTTCTGAGACTGATTAAATGTAGCTTGTATCTCTCTATTGCTTTCTTTCATCCACAGCTCCACTGGCTCCAGTTATTGACACTCAGAAAACATTAGCTTATGACCAGCTGTTTTTGTGCTGGCGCCTCCCTCAGGACTCAGCCCCGGCTTGGCACTTCTCTGTTGAATATCAGCAACGAGCAGGAGGAGCTGGAGCCACATGGGGCGGCACAAGATCCCTTAATGCTTCAATGGTGTGGCAGCGCCTGGATGAAGTGAGAGGGACCAGTACTGTGATTGACCGCCTGCAGATGGACAGTGTGTACGTGCTCAGGGTGAGAGGCTCCAACAAGGCTGGGTTTGGAGAGTACAGTGAGGACGTTTACCTCCACACTCCACCGGCACCTGGTGAGATATGTATACCTGTTACATTATATCACTTTTATTTTCTGCAGAAACTATTCATGTCCCCAATCTTCCAAAAACAAATGAGGTATTTTTTCCTTTTCAATGCACTGAATTCATGTATTTATAAGAAAGAAGTGAATTGTAAATGGCTTTGAGAGAATTAGTAATATGCTTCAAGACTGGAATTTAGTTTTTGATTTGTGAAACAAATTGGTTTGCACTGATATCAAAGAGAAACACTGGCTGTTACAGTATTTTAAGTTTGATATATTTCCAGTTTTGTTATTTTTCAACTGATTGACTACTCTTTATCATTCTTTTCTCTCCATCCACTGGTTTTTAAAAATGTAGTTTCTGCATCCTTTTCTTGTTCTGCATTCCAGTTTCCACAGTTTTCCACTGAGACTCTTTCTGCTCTGTCCTTCTGCACATTCAAAAACTCCTTTTGGTTGTTTAGGTTGGTTGATTAGTTGAAACAATGGGTAGCTAAAGTGAGTGTTACCTTTACTGTTTCTCACATTTACTGGTGAAACCACTTCTCCCTACCTTTACTCTTAAATACACCCTGCCTTTTATTCAGTGTTCTCCTCCCAATCTTCTTTAGCTCCTGATGATGTTTTCAGACTTGCTGTGTTCTGACTTTGTCCCAGTTTTAGGATCTAACCCCTCCTCCCCCACATGACTCCTTTTTTTTTTACCTTTCTCGCCATATCTTTGTCCTCTTTACTCTGCCTCCCAGTGTTGAGTTTCTCCTTGGATTCTCGCTGGGGTTTGCATGCTGGCAGGCTGGCACTGGGGAAAGGCCAGACCTATGCCCGCAGTGTGCCAGGCCTCTCTCTGCTGCAGGCTGCTGACCGCACACTCACTTCCTGCCACTTGACTTCTGACCTGCTGGTGGCTGACTTGGCTGTCGCTCAAGGCAGACACTACTGGGCATGCTCTGTGGAGCCTGGGTCCTACCTGGTAAAGGTGAGAGTGATACTTGTTGGTCAAGTTGTTTTGGTGTTATAATGTGTTGCATATTTGGAAACAGCTTCATCTTGGATGCTAACTCAAAATAAATACAAAACTTTCTGTCTTTGTGTTTCTTTCTCTTCCAGGTGGGGGTAGGGCAAGAGAATAAGCTACAGGAGTGGTTCCATCTTCCTCAGGACATGGCCAGCCCTCGGTAACTAAAACTCTCCCCCACACATAGATTGACCGTTACCAGCAATTCTGTTTTCTATGACAACAAATAACACAGCCTGGCCACTTTAATAGTCACACCTGTACAATTGTATGCAATTCAATGCAACACTTCGACAGAGGTGGTGCAGTGGGTAGAGCAGTCGTCTCCCAACCGGAAGGTTGAAGTTTCAAATCTCAGTGCCTGCAGTCCACAAGTTGAAGTGCCCTTGGGCAAGACACTGAACAAATGCGAAACATGGCGCCCACCAAGGCAGACGTGTTTGCGTGTTCCACTCTTGAATGCCGGCTTTTTCTTCTTTTTTGTGTTTTTTTACTTTTTCTGCAGTGCACAAATGTCATGCACTGCTAACATACAACAGACAGGCATTGCTGGATATCGCCAACTCACAAAGCCACTGGGAATTTACTGGTTTCATACCCCCAGAGCTACAACTCATTGTCCGCTCCCGCAATATCAACAACGACGACAACCACCATCACCCTCAGGGAGCCTCCAGAGCACCAGGCACAAGCGAGCAGGCTGAAATCAGGAGAGTGACCCGGAGACGGAGACGCAAATGGGGCAGGTGAGGAGGACTCCATGCTAGGCTAAAAGCTCCCGCTACCCGACCACCATTACCCAGCCTCTTCCTAGCTAACGTACAGTCTCTGGAAAACAAACTCGACCAGCTAAGGGCTTGGATTACAACACAACAGGAAATCAGAGAATGTTGTGCTCTAGTTCTCACCGAGACTTGGCTTTCTGACAGAGTT